GTCATATATTTCACATCTATTCAGTTGCAATTGGATAATATTAAAGTTATCTAACTTTTACCTATAGATACGGCGTCAGCTTTTCAAGCACTTTCAGCTAAACGATGCAGCACTCAGCAAAAACTTCCATGATAATAATAACAACGCCTTTGGCAGCAAATCTGTGCATTTACTTATATTTCTATACAATATTTTCAATGCAAGGTAGAGCGTGGAGCGTAAAGCATGGAGTAGAGCGTGGAGCAGGAAGGCAGCGTAGATAATAATGCGGAGACAAGCCAAGCGAAAGGCAACGACGTCCTAAACACTTCACGTCATTTCCAATAAACTTGTCACAATAGCACTGCCGGTGGCCGTCGGTGGAGAGATGACTGTAGTAGCAGTAGGAGTGCGCACTTTTTTTTTCCCAGATACAGTTGCAACTTTACGCAAGCGAGCAGACGCTTTAGTGATATTTGCGCATTTTGTTGTAGTCGTGTATCCGTTGAAAGCGCATTCAACGTATTTAGGCTACAATAGCGCGTAATCTATGCCACTCGACTTGCAACAAGCAGCAACAGCAGCTCCAGCACTGTGGCAGTGGCAGTGGCAGTTGCAGCGACTGCAATTGCGGCGCCATCATTTTGCATAGCATTTTGCATCTAGCAGATACTTTTACCGCACAACACAATGCAGCTTAATGCCGAAAAGTGCACAGCGCATGAATTTCATTTTATTTGCCTTGCATTTTTATGATTGCTATGCAAATGCAGCACAGCCCTCGGCTAGCTAAAAACTAAAACAAGAAAGCGCAGTTATGTGTGGAGTACCACAGATTCAAATACTCTTTACGAAACTTATATCCACATTTCATCCCAGATAAATAGAAACTGCTATGATTTTCAATGCGGCATGACCTTAGTGCAGTTCAAACTCTCCTGGGCCGCATATGGCCACTGCTAGAGTATGCCAACAACTCCCATCTGCAGCGCAACGAGGCGTGGCATCTTTTGTTCCGCCCACACTATAAAAGAGCAGCACAAAAATAAAAACAAAATCGAATAGCGAACTTGCTGCGGGGAAGCTAAAGTGAGATTCAAAACAATTGTTGTCCAACTCGCACAAAGAAATCACAAAATATAAACAACAACAAATAAAAATAAAATAAAAACAAAAAAGCTGAAAGCGGTCAAAGAACAATTCTTAATACGGCACACACTTTCAAGAAATGTGGAAAATATAAAAAGAAAGTCAAGAACTTACCTTCGTTGTTAACGGTAGTGGTCTCCATTGTTGTTTATTTGTTGTTGTGTTTGGGAATTGGACGAAAAATAAGATAAAGACTGGTTACTGTAAATGAAAGTAAATTGAAAAACACATAAAACAAATGATTAAAATAAAAAATATTGTAAGCTGAGAT